ATATATATATATATATATATAGAGAGAGAGAGGGTTTTTTCCCCTTTTACTTGATTAAACATTTTCCCCCTCAAGTTTAATCATAATTCTTACATGAATTATCAATAAAAAAAACTTGATTTTTAAGCTCAGAGTATCTTTTATTTTAAGAAAAGTAAAACACTTGTCAAAGTTTCAAAGATAAGTAAGTCATTTATAGGTAATGCTGAATGTTCTCAAATTTTGCAGGAGAAAACTAAAACAATTTGTAATCGTGATAAAACTGGAGATTTTACTTTCAGGAAGATAATCGAACTAAAATTTAACGCTTTTTTATTTTCTTTTGCATAATTTCCTGTTTCTTCTGTCACAAAATTACTCTTGTAAATAGTTTCTGGGTTGCCTACACCAAAACTAAAATTTCCTTTTCGGTAATGAATTGATTGAAGGTTCAAACGAAATACAAAAATGTGTATGATATGTGTGTGTCGTTCATAACCCAGATCATCTACTAATCTTCTCCAATTTTATAGTTTTAACTTCGTATGTTCAGATATAATGGGAACATGTTTTTCATTGTGACTTCCAATTTAAAGTTTAAATAAGTCCTATTTTCCACAGTAAAAAAGTATGTATTATATCTTCGAAATTTTACAGCTCCAGTGGCGCCATCACGGTACGACCTCATCTCTTTAAATTCTACAACTATTACGTTTAACTTGGGCAGTTGGGGAGACGGAGGTTGTCCAATACAATACTTTCAGCTTCAATATAGGGTTCAAGGTCAAAGAGAATGGACAGTAATTGGTACGAAGCTCTATCCTGAGCAGCAGATAGTGGCTATCACTGACCTGAAACCTGGAACGTGGTATTCCGTTCTTATGAGTGCTGTTAATAGCGTAAGCGTCGTAGAAGAAGAATACAGGGTAGCGACTCTGACGCTTTCTGGTGGTAAGTTAAAACATTTTTAGACCATTTGTCTATAATTCTATTTCGATGGCATTTGAATCCTTTAATCTAACTGTAATGATACTGAAATGCCTGATATTTTGAACTCCATGAATTGTGTGTCCTAAAGCACAACCCAACATAAAGAAGTTGTGTTTGTTCCCCTAGACACAACCTTCCGTATATAAATTATGTTTGTGTCCTTAAATACAACCTCGCGTAAACAAATTGTTGTTGTGTCCCTAAGTAAAACTCCACGTAAAGTAACTTCAATTTTTTTTCTATTCCTGTCCATACTAAATACAATATAGTCGGCTGGACAGATGTAATGTATTATTTGTTATGTCCGGATAAAACTTGTAGAGGCATACTGATTATTTTGGTCGGGAAAAGAAAAAATCGTTCTGTAACATGTGTATTTAAAGAATTAATAGGAGTTTTTAAAGTTAAGTTTCAAACTAGATTTTTTCTCAGCGCCTTTATTTAATAAGCCAGAAATATCTCATAGTTTGACTACCAAACTACATTTCGCAAAACGACAATGAAAAACTTGTTAGGTAGTCTTTGAAATTATTAGTGCTTTGTGTATTTTATATAACTGTAAGTTTCCTGCCACAGTATAAATATTTTAAAGATATAATTTATTCTCTAAAATATATTTCACTTTATCTGAAATCTTCATATCTTTTCACAGCTACTGTGGTTCCCCCTGGCGATTCTAGTCCAAGGAGCAGGTATCGAAGCCTATATATAATCGTTCCTGTATGCTGTGCTGCTGTTGTTCTAATCGCTATCACCCTAGCCGTTTTCTTTGTTCTTTGTCGTCGTCGAAGTTCAGCATCTTCCAGCGCTTACGATGGTATATTTTTTGTTGATATTATTTACTTGTCATAGATGATTAAATCATTTCACAATGATTTCATCAAGTAAAAACTCTCACATCAACTGCTTTGCACCATCTGAACAGAATCAAATGAATTAGCTTATAGTAAAAAGTATATCATCAATTAAAATTTCCTAATCAAACATGTTGAAGATTCTGATATAACTAGTACAAAATACCCGCACTCAGCTTCGGGTCTCGAAAGCCCCAGTTTTATAATATGCCGATTATGATCCTCTATCATTCCGAGTTGCTGCTATGGATATTCCATGGGGGTTATTTCCCGAATGAATATAGGTATGAATACAGTTTCCAACATGAGACCCTTCAGATTATGAGGGGGGAACCAGGAATACAAAATCCGATGCCAAATTCGGGCTCAAAGACTAAAAACCTACTTTATACCACCGTTATACTTGGGTGAATTCCTTCTTACGCGTTTTAGCCTCCCTTGATAATCTTTACAGTGAGAGCACTACTCAATATAGATAAGAAAATTATTCACGCCGCTCCAAGTTCATCTGTTAACTTTGGTTCTTTTAGCTCCAAAACTATGGGATGGGTTATCTGCACAAAGACACAGACATACATACAAAACTAATAACAGTACCCTAGAAATCTCGAGGGGGACAAGGATACAAAATCTAATACCAGGTTCTGGCTCAGCGGCCCTGAAAGCCAATGATTAGGCAACCCATAATGCCTAGGTGACCTTCCAGGATCATTTGACTTCCATTTGTAACCCTGTGGTGGTAGGGATGAAGAAGGTAAGCCATAATGCCTAGGTGACCTTCCAGGAGCATTTGATTCCATTTGTAACCCTGTGGTGATAGGGATGAAGAAGGTAAGCCATAATGCCTAGGTGACCTTCCAGGATCATTTGACTTCATTTGTAACCCTGTGGTGATAGGGATGAAGAAGGTAAGCCATAATGCCTAGGTGACCTTCCAGGAGCTCCATTTGTAACCCTGTGGTGGTAGGGATGAAGAAGGTAAGCCATACTGATAAAGACATCTGTCGGGCCACCTCGAGTATGTCTGCCAAGTTTGGTCCTGCTAGTTTCATAACTGTGGGAGGAGCAAACTGGACATAAATACATGCAAAGCTAGAAGTTTAATTAATATAATTGGATAATAATTAAGAATAAAATTAATAACTTCTTATTTAACATTTTCAGTGTAATTCCTATAAGAAAGTCTTACCAGTGTCAGTCAATATTCCATTCAAAGAGCCTAATAAAGCTGTTCTGAGTACTATTTGGCTAGCTTCCTTCCTTTTGTTAAGTACTTCAAAATAAGGGGCAGCTATACTAAGGGTCTTTAATCTAGCCGTTTTACCAACGACGTGTGTTTCAAATAGCGTTCAGGTTGAAATTTTCTAATGCAATATAAAAACTAAGGTGTTACCTATAAATTAATAGACTGGTTAATGTTAATTTTCAAGAAGTCCAATTGCTAAAGAAGCACGTGTATGTGATTTAAACTAAAAAATAATTTTGATTATTTTTTAAAATGAGAACAAAACCTTTATTTTCTGCTCTGTTAACAGTTCTCTTCATAAACTAGAAATAGAATATTCGGTACACTGCTATAATATAAAAGTTCTATATACTGAACTAAATTTAAAATAATCTAATTTTCTTTTACAGTGGTCATATTATATAACTTAATATAATACTTTTAAATATTCCATAAAAATTTGAATAGATTTTTATGGCTAACTGTGGTTGAAAGAACTTTAACATGTCAACAAGAAGTTATTCTGGGTAAAATTTAGATTATTTACAGTTATATAGAAAATCGTGATACCTTAATATGTAATTTATGACGAAAAACTCTATAATACAAATTGGACTACTTTTCTGGTGTCAGAAAAAGTGCTTATTTCATACAATTCTTTCAAATGTGTAATTTCATCAAAAGGACGTATTAAGGAATGCACAGTAATGCACAAAAGTTTGATGTAGAATTATTCTTTGCTTATATTATAGCCACTGAAAAATGGCCAGACAGTGAAATATTTTTAATCATTGCCTAGAAATGAAACTTCGAAAATTTCTCTTGTTACAACAATTACAACTTTTTTTCACTGAAACATTATCTGAGTAAAGAAATTTAACAATGTTGTTTGTAAATGCTTTTACAGAAGGTTGGTAATGTTATATTAAAACAATTTTGAAGCAAGTCACGTGATGACAACAGCCGATATAAAGTAGTAGTGGAACGGAACGCATCAGAACTACATTTGACATTGTTTAACAGATCGTAGACAGTGTGATGCTAGAATACTGATCAACTGCAACAAGTTGTACCTTAACTGTAGTAAGTAAAGTGCGGCATCTTATAACAGGCAAGAATCCACGAACACAAAGATCGGTGGGAAAACTCATCCACGCTCCCAAGACAACAGTACGTAACATAACCAAGAAGGATTGAAATAGATAGGGACTTGATAAAAACCCTGTGTGTTATATTAAACCATTTTGAATCCTCACCACATAATTACAGTTCATGTCGCCACGTGCATTTGTGCTCTATATGATGACTGTCCATCTTGGTAAGAGTCCTGCAGCGTAACTTCCATTTCAAAAGAATATGTTATAAGGTTGTCATGTCAAAAGTACATTATTACTTCCTGATTGTTTTCTATAGTCCACCTAGTGTACAACAACGACGGTTTTCCAGCACCAATTTCAATATTTCGATCGCACAGAAGCACAAAGGCACTGAATCTGGCGACTTGACTGATATGTATTTGTATGGTAATAGGATGAATACCCATTTCATTATCAACTATGCAAAAGTTGACGGGATTTATTGTGGAAAGAACTGTTGTTCGTGTGACTTCTATAACTTTTTTTTTCAGACAGAAATGAAATAACAGGTTTTATTGATTGGTATTGCAGAACCCCATGAAGATGAACGTGCAAGAACGTGTGATGGTGATAACATTGGGTATTCAAGGAAAGAAATACAAAAAAATTAGAGAGAAGTTTGAAAGAAAATTTTATAAGCCAGTTCCTACAGACAAGATAATACGCGAATTGTTGAATAAGTTCCAAAGAACGGAATCTGTTAATGATGAATCAAGATCTGGACAACATCCACGTGTCTCAGAGCATACTGTCTAGGAACTGCTGCATCATGTCCAGATAAATAGCCCCTGTAACTGTAGCTTCAGCAAAGAAAAAAGGTCCATAAATCTTAGATTTAGTCAAACCCAACCAGACATTAACTTTAGGAGTATCTCTTTCCCATTGATAGGTGAAATCAATCGGTCTATCATTAGCCTCCATGACACAGTTATGGCGATTAACCTTTCCACACTTATGGAAAGTTGCTTCATCACTAAAAAGAATGTGGTCCATTCAATTTTCATTCTGAATGCGTTCAACGAGATCGGCAAACTTCGCTGTGGATAGTCCTCTTCATGCAAATCATGTAAAACCCGAAGGTGATAACTTTTCTTATGCTTTGTAGACCGCTGAATTGGGCAGCCTGAGTCTTGGTAAAACAGCACGAAATGACATACGTAGTTCTTTCGTGACAACTTTTCGTATTGCATTTAACACCAGTTGGTTGAGGATGGGATATTGAACACCATCGTCTTTGAGAAAGATGGTGTATCTCGTCACTATGCAAACACTGTTCGTGAGTACCTGAATGAACGATTTCCAGATTTGACGTGGAAGAAACAGACCCTGGGCGGCTCGATTGCCAGATCTAACACCCTTGGATTTCTTTGCATGGGGCTTTATCAAATCAAACCTCTATCAAACGAAGGTTAAAGACCTGCAAGACTTAGTACATGCATCGTAACGGCTGTTCACAAAATAACCCCTGAAATGCTCCAGGATGTGTTCAGAAATGCTACAGAAAGATTTGAGTTCTGTAGAGATATTGATGGTGCACATGTAGAACCTTATTCTTAAGTATTTAATAAATGTATACCTTCTATTGTTTTATAATTGACTTTAATACAGTTGCCCATTATTTGTCTGAAATAGATAGACTTTATAAATACCCTATATTTACCCTCTGTATTTATATTTTTATTGTTACGACCATTCTTTTCCAACTGTAAAATTAAGGTGGTCGGAGCTTAGAAGATACCAAGGGTGACATGATTGCAATGCCAGATCTTGAGAAACAGTATGGTGATACTAGTGAGTCAGCTTACTTTCCTTCTCCCTACGCCACTACTCGCGTTCCTGTCTTTTCTCGTGAAATGATGCCACGAGAGGGTGCCCCAGGATCTCGTAGTCTTGTTCGATCTTCCACCAGAGGGCATGAAAACAACTATGACGTTCCACAACCGGTAGAGTTCTTCTTTGTTAATTATTGATTGATGCAATATATAATGTTTAAAGATAAAATAACATACAATCTTCTCTTTGCTGTATAGTGAGTTTGTTCAATAATATAATGCACAGAAACTCTGTCTGAAAATCATAATGTAACTGACGTGATATCATTTGCTTATAAACTGTTCAGTCATTTATTTAGTTATAAAACCAGTATATTGTTATGTATTCTTAATTTGTACAGAAAATAAGTAGTTATGTGTTTACATCAAATAATAAAATATTAATAATTTTTTATCTGCTCAATGTGCTTTATACTGCTATGACATTGTAGTTGTTATTCAAACAGCGATATCTCTTGAAAAGCCAACTGTGTACCTTTGTGCTTAACAAAGACCATCCAATGAACCTAAAAAAAAGAAGCTATTAATCCTGTTTAAATTGTTCCCTTTTTTAATTGGAATGCAAATTAATTTTTGAAGATAAAAGTAAATACTTTCTCTGACTTCTCAACATTTACATAAATTCATTTTATTGAATAGTAGCAGTTTGTTCCAGTGAAACTTAGGAGAAATGTAGAAAATTTAACAAGTAAATTCCGTTTTTACTAACATTATACTGGCTTGAGCATATTTTCCTATTTACTCATATCCAAACAACAGGTGACTCTAACTTTAATGCTCAAAATGCTTTGTTTTTGGGATTCTAACACTTAGGTTGAAAAACAGTAATAATTCAAACACATTATTAGAATTGGCACCTATAAGTACTGAAAAGTCACGTAAGTATGTTTCTATGGGCAAAAGATGTTATCATTACCAAGGATAGTGTTACTTTAGACAGACAATGTTCTATGGGACACCTGCTGTTTTGCTTTCACAAGTTAACTATTATAACATATATCAGTTTTTCTTATCATTAGTTGAATGAAGGAATAATTTACTTTATATGCTTTTAACATCCTGAAAAGGACGCTTATTCAACCCTCTGTATGATTTCATTTTGTCACAACTAAATATAATAAGTGAACGACTTACTGTTTAACTTTACTATTGTTTAAAATAGCAACACTTACCACTCACACCATGTTCCATACTTATAACTTTGAGACTGCTTGGTGTCAAGACAATTGGTTGTTAGGAAATACAAAGGCCGTCACATGGTCACACAGACAATGATGTCAAGATAGTTGTTTGTTAGGACATACAAAGGTTCTCACGCAGAAATGTATTACTGATGACGATATTAGGAAGTTTGATCTTGTGTTTGCTTAAACAAAGTAACATTTTCATTTATACAAACTAGAAATTCTATTTCCATATCTTTTAAATCTTTATTTAAACTTATTAGTTTTACAAATGTGCAAATTCACGTAATCGTAAAAGGACCATTAATTATAAATCAAGTGATTATTTCAAAGATTTTGAAACAATGTTTCATTAACATGAATTATACAATTTAGTTTTCTTATATAACTCAAATTTTTATCATAGCTCAGTATGCTATCATGCATACTTAAAACTTCAGGTAGTTAATATTGAAAATAAATGGTTGAAACTCTACATAATCATATGTTTTCTACATAAATTTAATGCTCACCATACCTTAACCAGAGTTTTTGTATGTCACAGAATTTAAACGTCGGTAAATATAGTTTTTCACTTTACATAGTGATACAAAACACTAATTATGTATTCATGATATTTGATAATTAGTTAGCATACAGTTCTTGTATATTTTCTATAATTAGACTTCATAAACTGATTATTCACGTTTCTAAATACCGTTGTCACTCATACCGAAATATTTTAGCTTATAAAATACATGACTAACTTTCATACAATTTTTTGTACATTATGTTCATATTACTATTTCAGTTTGAGTATATATATTTTTCATTTGTGTAACAATGTGTGAAACAAACTAAATTAACATGAGACATCGTACTAAAGACTGTTTGTTTGTTATTAAGCACAAAGCTACACAATGGGCTATCTGTGCTCTGCCCACCACGTGTATCGAACCCAGATTCTAGGGTTGTAAGTCCGCAGACATACCACTGTGCCACTGGGGGCTACTAAAGACATGTCACTATATAAACGAATAGATGATTCAATGCAAACTAATCATGTAATATTTCAGTTAGTAGGCTCACAAAAATTAGTTTATCAACTATTTCAAAGCAGATATTTCCTCTTATAGGTTTGAAACTTTTATGGTAATATAACTTATATCTTCACTTAAAAATTATATAAATCAGCGTTCTGTGATTTTTATATATAAAAATAACTTTTAATCATAGCCTAATGTACTTGCTACTTTATTATATCTAAGTAAAATCTCAGCTTAAGTATAATACATATTGAAACATTTGTTAACAAAACTTTAAGGTACACAAATATACTATTTATGAAAACATCTTATTTTATAAAGTACTGACCTATATATATATATATCTAGCTTAGTCTTTTAAGATAAATTACACCTCACGAATATCAGTTTCTAATGATAAGTGCAATCATAGTTTTCTCTTTCTCAGGATGTGATGGTTCCGAAAAGAATCTTTACATTTCATTCATTTAAACAAAATCGTTTTCTTCAGAAGAAAAATGGCCTTCTTCTTCATTACCTTTAGTACAAATACTCATTTGAAATATGTTATGTTCATTTTGTGTAATACCAATGGCCCAGTGATATAGTAATTGGGGAACATTTATATGTTCAATCATATGACTCCATAAATAAAACAAGTCTTTTTAGCAAAATGAAATCATACATACAGGGTTAAATAAGTGTCCTTTTCAGGACAATAAAAGTATCTAAAGTAAATTATTCATTACAATGACTACCTCATTCAAGAATGTATAATAAAAACTAATATATATATATATAGTTGACTTGTGAAAGCAAAACGGCAGGTGTCCTACAGAACATTGTTTGCCTAAAGTAACACTATCCTTAGTAATGATAACATCTTTTTCCAATAGGAACAATATTGTAAAAAGTATGTAGATGAAAGGACATATTTTGTCAAGAGAAATAAAAATCATAGTTATATGGATAGCATAAAGACAAACTAGTGCAAGTGAATGATATTTAAACAGCTGTCCTCTTCAGGACAATATTGGTAAAAGGTATGCTTAAATATAGAAATTAAAATTATAATCAGTTTGTTAAAACAAAATGGGTTGTCTTGTTCAGTATGAATAAAAAACGTTAGGTATGATAAAACTTTTCGGTAGTAAGTTATGTGTTTAAGTAACACTATCATCCTATAGAAACACAACTAAATGATAAATAAGATGATACATATTGAAATCTGCATGCTGTCCCACAGAAGTATAGAAACACTTTTGTAAAACATATGCAATTCAGTGTAAGTTTAAATTTGTATGCAGTCTTATTAAAACAGTATCAGCCTTTCTCTTATAGAACCTTAGTAATACAATCCACCTATACAAACACTATCTTTAGTAACACAATGCACCTATAGAAACACAGTACACCTTTGTAAAACATATACACACAAACACTATCCTTAGTAACATTGTCCACCTTTAGAAATGTATACACAAAAACTACTCTTAGTAACATTGTCTACCTTTGTAAAATGTATTTAATGTTTTACTTATAAAGCAAAACTGAAAAATCATTGTTATGCATTGTAAGACCATTCACCTAAAGAAACACATCCGCCTTTGTAAAATGTATGTAATAAATACATAAACATATGTTAAAATCTGTATGCAATCATGCAGGACTATCTGTCTTTCCAAAACATACATAATCTATCCAATAATGCTTATAGAAACATTAGTAACAACATCCCCCTATAGTAATAGTATCCCAGAACTTTGGTAACATCGTCTGCCTATAGTAACAACATCTGCCTATACACCTTACTAACACAATCTGCCTATCATAACAGGCCACTATATCACCTCTCACTAAGTTTGTTGCACCTTGTGGTTCCACTTCGTGGAACTAGGACATCACACCTACCACAGATTTCTCTGTATTCAACCTGTCATAGTAACGCACCCTCTGGTGACATTTCATGGAACTATGACGTCATCATCGCTGATATCTATGACATTATTGTTTCTACTTCTTTCCCCATTGCCTGGGGTTGACCCATATGTGGCGCCCTTTTGCGGCGTGACGCGCAACAGCTGCCTCAACTACTCACATAAAATAAATTTTTGATAACCTCACATATTTCAGCATATATAACTCTTTTACCTATTTTTTATATATTTTTTAGAGGAGAACTAAATGCAAAGCTTTACTTGATCAAACCTCAGAACCCAGAGGAGGAAGTGACGTTAGTTCAGATTGTGGTAAGTCCTTCAGATTTGTGACATTGTGATAATTACATAGCTCGGATTATCCTAATTTGCAGTTGTGAAGGAGAGAAAGAATTCTGTTTTGTCTGTATTTAATTGTAAATTTGGTCTGTGGTGTTGGTGGAGCAGGTATGAACGTTAAAGTTGAAAACTGCTATAAAGAGTGTATATATCCCCACCGTAGACATTTAACATATGAATAATGGGTACTAAAACAAAGTCTGTTGAAAGTACAGATGCAGAATTAAACTCTTAAGGTGACGAAGCGAGAAAGCTTATAGAACATCACTTTAGTCTACAGATTCTTCTTATTTCTCACAATCTTCATTGTCAGCCCATTAAAGATTTTAAACGAGAGTTTAATCAGATTCGTTTAATCAGAACTAATAGGAGTTAAAAACATCTGTAATTTTCTTTTTCAAAATTTCTTTTATTTTTAGGGAACTATACATAAAAAGGCAGAAATTTAAATATGTGGTCATTGGTATGAGACTTGTCTTTTGATAAAGACTTTCGAGGTTCATTTCATGTTTACTTATGTATTCTAACAGGAGTATCAAAAGAGGGGTCACTTCCATTTATTATAATAATTTTGCACGTTTGTATTTCAAAAAAAAATTCCATGTCACAGAGATGAAATTACATTTATAAAAAATTAGAATATTACAACTATGAAAAATGTAAAACGAAATGCAATTCCACGAAACAAGATAAGATTCTTTCAAACTCAGAAGCTGAAAATTCGACATATCATCAGTGACATTTTAAAAAATATTACCATCTTCTCATAACATTACATTATACATAAAACATAAAACTACGAAGGGATCATTCATCAAGATACTAGAATACCTTAGAATACAAGACTGTTATAAGTTTTGTATGTGCTAATGAAAATATTGTTAAAATACACTTACACGTCCAAAATATTACAGTTTGCATTAAAACAAATGAAACAAATGATAAAGCAGAGCTTAGCACTTTTTGTGCACTGGTTCCACTTAGTAATCCTACACGTAAAAAAAACGACTACAAGTGGTGTGATAGATTAACAATATCTGATAAAGATATTATGACTATGAGACACATACGTATTTGAAGTATGTTAATTTTGAAATGCACTATTCTGTTTCTGCCCATTTTAAAAATACTCAATATATCTAAATATGTTTAGTAATTATAATTCGAATTAAATTCTATTTGGTTTGTCTCCGTGAAGCACAAACCTGCATAACTGGTTATATGTGCTGCACCTACCATGACTACGGAAATCCAGTTTTTAGCGTTATAAGTCACTGAGCCACTGAAAAACACATTTTGTAGATAACCTAATAATGACTTTTATACTTCAGCATTATAGTTTTTTTTTCTGCATCGCTTGTAGATATCTTAATTATGGAAATTATTATGTAGTTTAAACCATTTTGTTTTCCTTGTAATAAGTTGAAGTGCATTAGCAATGTTTTATGTATTGGTCAATAGAGAGCGTCACCGATCGTCTTGACGGCTACGAGCAACCACGAAAATCCTTCAGACCCAAAAGCCAGGATCACTGTATATATCCCAACAGTTCTTTTAAAGAATCAACACCAAGTTACGGAGTAAGGTAACGAAATAATTATGTTAATAGTCTTCATATTTCGTGTGAATTACTTGTACCAAAAGTAACTGTCACTTAAATGCTAGCTACTTAACACGTTAGCTGCCATGTGCCCCACCGGTGGGTAACAACCGACTTTTAGTTATAGACCGCGTGACACACCAGTGGGTCACACAGTTATATTTCAAAGCCAAATTGCTCTTGTAGCATATGAGTTTGTATAATTTATTATGCAGCAGTGAACGTGTTAATATGTTTGTTTTTAACTGTATAAATGTGTTTGATAAATACATCGCGTTTATTAAAAATAAACTAACTTCACAGAGACATAATACTTTCCTTGTGACACATCATTTATTATATGCATTATTCAAGGTTTACAAAATTGTGAACTGAAAGTTGTTAAAATAGAAAATAGTTTTCATATCGACTGCGTTTTAAATGTTTTATTAGATATAGTTTACATTTTACGGATGTGTTATATGATCTACCTGAAGAAACAACGGATATATTTTGTAGGAGTGATTACATCCATGACTTCATATATAGTCCTATACATCTAGCATCATCATCAGTAGTTCATGACGGTCTGGAACCCTCGGACACGGAATGTGATAGAGACTTAACCGACAACAAGGGATTAGGTAAATATTCATTCGTACAAGCTTTCTAGACTATTTTAAAACTAGAAGCTAAGAATATTATTAAATCAATATATATCACATATTTTCAAAGCTTTATCCAAGTAAAAAAACAGGTAATTGTTTCGTATAAGGAATATTTTAGTTTTAATATAATCAAATAAATACACAGTAATTACTTGTTTCTTTCAACTCTGTAGTTGATGTAAAACATTTTTGTTTGTTCTGACTTAAGTGGTCTGTTTTAGTTGGTATCAAGTGTGGCCAAATGGTTAGCGTCTCGGGCTACGGATCGTACGCTCTGGATGTCGAGACGTTATGCTGCTGAATACACTCTGGAACTTTCAGCTGTTGACACTTTATAAAAGTGACAGTCAGTCCTATTATTTAGTTCAACTAGCTGGACAAAATCCTTGCAGTAGCGAGTGCTACTGCCTAGCTGTTTTTCCTCTGACCACTAGTCCGAAATGAGGGACAACTGTATCTAAATTCTAGAGGCCTCTGACAACGGCCAGCTAGCAAATATGGTACTGTTCAGGTTCAAAATTCCAACTACAATCATGTCTCAGTTCATTAAATTACCCAACTCTTGTAATGATATATTAATGGATATTGATGTGTTGGTAGAGAACATGGAACGATAATATTTACTGTCTGACCGAGTTCTAATGCATCACAAAAATCTGTCAGTTCCGCTTCCACAGTGGCATATTGAGTCAAGTCAGGCTAACTACTAAAAATGATCGTTATATAGTAGTTACTTAGTTGGCAAGGAAACACATATTTATAGCAATATTACTTAATGATATCTATAAAATATTCCAGTCTAATAGTAGAGCATAACATCAATTACATGTCCTAAGTACCTTAATTCACTGCAGCTTACTTATCGGGAAAATTATTGTTAACTGACGACGGAATCAATATATTTTTTGCTATGCAAGTATAGTAAACTATACTTGAGCGTCTTATTGTTATTTGCATTTTTTGAAGTGTTATATCATGGTTGATGTTCGGATAGTTTTACCATTACGCACAAGATAATGACTTGTGTTTTCAGAAGGGGTTGATTATTGCTTCTAAACATATCTGGGAGCTTTCTTTCTAGCGAAGAAATTTGCTGTGTGACACAGATAATATAGTTAATCAGTCAGTCTTAAGTTCAGTTGCTTAACTGCTTCGCAAAAGAAACAACTATTACTGTGAGGTATACTAAGCATCATTAATCAAAGAAAAGAAAAGATGGTTAACATAATACGCCATAGTGAAAGCACGAAATAAGCGAGAGAGGTTAAGTTTGGTGGACACTGCTTTGTGGGTCCTACTTCTAGAAATACCTTTCAAACTAAAATATATCTTATAGTTTTCTACTTATATATTGTGCTTTGGTGTTATTTGTTATCCTGTTCCTGCGACATATTTATTTATTTTTCTATGGGGAAAGGCTTTATTCCTTAAATCAATATAATTTTACTTAATTGTATCTCCTGTTCTTTATACGTGCTTGATTACTCTTAAACGAATTTGAAATATTGTTAGGACTATATGAGGTTCTTGAAGTGATTGTTTGTTTGTAGTTAAGCACAAAGTATAAAATGGAATATCTATGCTATGCCCACCGCGTTAAATAACTTTAGTTTCTTTTGAATTTCACATAAAGCTACAATAGTAGGATTGACAGTCACATTATAACGCCCCCACTGCTGAAAGGGCAAGCATGTTCGGTGATAGGGATTCGTATCTGCAACGTTCAGGATGCGAGTCCAGCATCTTAGCCATCAGGCCATGCTAGGCCACATAAATAAGATGTGGTTGCAAGAAATGAAGTTGGGAAATACTGGGGGAAAGAGTGATCATTGCATAAATTGGTTTGATTTTTTTTAGGTTTAGATAAAAAGAAATTAAACAGTCATTCCTAATTTAAAAAAAAAATCTGAGGCCATGAGACAATGTATTTCATTAACGGACTTGAAAAATTAGTTAAAAGTTAAGTTGTCAGGTATTTTTATTGTTTTTTTACACAAAGTGGTTTTAATTCAAGATATGCATGTTCCTAAAAAGAAAAACGTGTAATAGGGAAGATCAAACCTAAATGGCTTACTAAAGCCATGAGTGAAAAAAAAAATCAATGATAAGTATCACATGAGGTTTAAATTGATAGATAAAATGGAGGATTTACAAAACTATATAAGATATGGGAATTTGGATAAAATGAATTTAGGAAGTCCTAAATTGGCTGTGAGAAACATCCTGCTAGCAATATTTTAATAGCATGGATTTTTTTAATTCTATGAGATGGCCGAGGTTTTAAATGTTATCTCCTTTTCCTTAAAAAAAAGGAGAGGATTTTAGCAATACTCTTGGCTTTAAGCATTCTACAACAAACAGTTGGATCGGCCTGAATCTTACAGATGTTAATCCCTTGATTGTAAAAATAAAGATTAAAAATAGATAACTCACCAGCTTTTCTCAGGGTTTTACAGGAGGCCATAAAATGCGAACATATATTTCTCTTTCATTCTGGTTAAGTTTGAGGAATGAAGACTGCTAATGTTACACCTTCTATTTTTTAACGGGTTGATACGAATGTCCCTGGAATTTATAGATCAGTTAGTGTTATTTGTACTGTAACAAAATTTCTAAAGACTGATAAAAGAACCTTTATGAAATCATGTAGTACCATATGATATGGTAAAAGAAAACCAAAATGGCTTCACTAAAGAGAAATCTTCCCATACTAATCTGTTAACTGTTTTTTCGAGGATGTTACGTGTTATCTGTATGATGGAAAGGGCACTACTTGGGTAGTACTTAGCTTTTGAAAACTATTTTGAGAAATGCCACACAAATTGATAGCTGTGGAACACATTGGTGGGGGTTAAAGGTAAGTAAATTGTAGAATAATTGAATGAGAAAAAACAAAACATTATTACCAGAGTCCTGTCAAACTAGTGGACTGTTTCAGGGTTTGTGAAAAGGCCGTTCTTATTTCATTATTTGTAGCTGTATTGAGAATATTGAAGTACCACAGAATGACTTGGATTAATTGGTAAGTTAGAAAAATATTTGGAAAATGACCTTTAATTGTAGTAAATGTAAAATAATGCAAGGTGATATTATATTATTAAGTAATGATGAAGCGACATCTTTAATCTTTGTAGAGTATGCAAGAAAATAGACTTTATAAAAACACCAAAAGTGAGTTCGTTAGATTTGGTCAATGAACCATTCAGTCAACTAGTGAATCTGTTACTCTGTTATCAATCAATTACTGAGTATGTCAGTCACCCAGTTTTAAGTTGTGTCACAGACACAAGTGGAAATTTTGTAAATAGGTAATTAAGTTTTATTTATGAGTAAGGCGTACCATTAGCTTTCGAATTTATGTCGAAACGTAGCCTACAGAACGTTAAAGTCGAAGAAATAAATAACTTGATTTAAATAAATGGACTTTACTTGGCAATCTTTTTACCGGATATGCAGAAAGAACATACCCAACGACAGACCACGCTACAATATTATTTTCTCTTGAGAAAAGAACAGTAAGAGGTGATTTTAAATTTGATTTAAATAAGATTTGAAGACGGGTTGAATGGGTAGTGAAAGAAACTTTATTGCAAATGTACAACGTTTCGACGAGCTTATGTTATCAAGTACCTTATTATGACATAAGCTTATTGAAACGTTGTGCATTTGTAATAAAGTTTTTTTCACTACCCATTCAACTCGTCCTCAAATCTTATTTAGTAAGACATTATCTTACTGAAGTTTACAAAATTATTCGTGGATCGATATGATAAAGGCTTCTGATTTCTTTGAGCAATAATTTGAAGACAATAGGCACAAATGATTTGGAAAATACAGCTAAGACAGTTTTCTTTTGTTTTATAATAGGGTGATTGACTTATTGACTTATGGAATGAGTTGGCGTCGGCTGTAGTAGACGCCGGCACTTGATAACAGGTTAAAAGGGAATCGATATAGGGTGATTGACTTATGGAATGAGTTGCCGTCGGCTGTAGTAGACGCCGGCACTTGATAACAGGTTAAAAGGGAATCGATATTTCCCGAAAAATAAAGGGTGGGTTTAAATTTGTACTTTTTTTTAAGTGTGGATATGCAGGGACAGACTTATAGAGGTAAGTAGTCTATTGTTATATGTGTGTTGCGCTATATATAAATCGATGGGGCGTTACAGAAAGCCTTTTGTTCAACTCCAGAACTCATCAGCTAAACTAAGCCTGTGACGATCTTAAAGTAATTTAAAATGCTTTTTTTGTGTGATAAAGCTTAGTGTTTATATGTTGAGAACGTTATCTGTCAAGGTGTTACTGCATTTTATGCCTAAGTAATACGATAAAACATCTGAAGCGTAATTCGATTGTTCCACACTTTTTAAACCTAAAAAGTATAGTTTGATCTCCATGAATAATGTGTACACGAGTATTTTAAAACCCTGACTATATAAAATAAAAAGAACTGATTATTCAACTCAAAGAAATCTTGATTACATTAAACAAGTGTGTTAATTTTCGATATCGTCTCAAGTGATTATTCTATTTAGCTTTTATTCTAATTGCGTTTGAGCTTTATTTGCAGTGTTTGCTATTATTCGAAGACTGTGCATAAATTTATATAATCATTACATTTTTTAGTTCTTAGTATTTTCAATTAGATTTAATTATATTAATATAGAACTTGTCTCGATTTTTTTGTTTTTTTTTTGCATTCTTCCATAGTGGTGAAACAAAAAGCCGGCTCTCAAAGTTCTCCCCATCAGAAAGTGCTTTTCTGTAGATGACAGCATACAAAATGTTTGTCTCATCAGTTCCATCTAAATTTTAAGGTTTATTTGATAAATGTATATTAATGTTCTGTGATAATATTATTAATATTATGATAGATTACATTTAATGTAACTTAAAAAGTTTTTGTTTTTCTCTACTTGTATTATGACTATACAATAACCATAATAAAACTTGTTATAAGTTTATAACATGTTCTAAATGTTTCCATATGTTATATAACAAAAAGAGTTGACTACAAGTCTTGAAAATCTGTCTAGTTAAAAATTAATTAAAATGTCCAGGAGATCTCAATAATCTTCTTTCTTCAAAATCTACAACGATTTATTATCTTAGTTGTAATTTCGGATGTGTAGTTTGTTTTTTTTATTCTGAAATAATTTCAAAACCAAATGTTTATTTAGATCTAGTCTCCTCATTTGTTATTTGCGCAATCGTATTTTCAAACTATTAAAAGTAAAATTCACAAACTTTATTACAGATATAATCTAAATACAGTAGCTAATTTCTGATTTCACTAATCTTGCGAATATTCTGGACATTTCTCCAAGCAGACCAATCATATTCGTCAATATTATTCAGGGCTATTTAAAAATTGTTGTATTGCATTTGTTGCATCCAAAATGGTTTATATTTATGTATCTAAAGGACATCACTTTATAAATCGTATTGTTATCGTCAGCAGCACCGTTTTTCAGATTATGTTTATATTACTTTTGTATGTGATGATAATAAAATTTTTTTTTTTTTGCTTTAAGGAAACACAAGTACAAAAATTCTCTTTCATCATTTATTTTCCTAGAACGATTTAAACAAACAAAAAACAGTGATTAAAAGTAAAAATGTTTAAACACTGAAATTAAATATTGCGCGAAACTTTTAAGCCTAATGTATTAACTGCTGTAAATACGTCACTACTGACTATCACTGAGATACTAATTAATGAACTTCCGATCAGAGCAAGCTACCTTCTCAGACCAACAATGAAAATCAGCCTGGCAATGAGTATAACTGATTAAATATTTTTTTTTATACTTATAAGGATTAAAGTGCATTGTTTCATCAGCACTCACGTCATTAACGATATTTTCGGCCAATTATATTTCACGAGATCTGACTAGCTTAGGAGGTTTAGATTAGCTGTAAACCAATAAACTAACCTACCAATACAAAATAATCCCTATAATACAAATATAACAATAAAAACAGACACACTAAACATTTTAACCCATACGATTAATGAAAGTTACACTGTTTGTTTGTAATTAAGCACAAAGCTACA